TACACATACCTGCCCGTACTCAGACCTGATCATACTAATTTACTCATCGTCAGACCTACTCATACTCAGACCTACTCAAACTCAGACGTACTCATGCTGAGACTTACTCATACCCAGACTTACTCATACTCAGACCTTCTCATTGTCATTGTCTGGCTTACTCAACACACAGCCGATTGTGAGGATGTCTCAGGCGGGGCGCTGGTTTCAGCACCGCTAAGGGGAGCCGCCAAGGGGTATGACACGGTCCCGTTCGCTGCCGTTTTGTGGGGATGCCTCTGCCTGTTTTCTGTCCCAACATCCTTCGCTTGGAGAGCAGATTGTGAGGATGTCTCAGGCGGGGCTCTGGTTTCAACACCCCTAAAGGGAGCCGCCGAGGGGTATGACACGGTCCCGTTCGCGGCCGTTTTATGGGGATGTTTCCAGCGGTTTCTCTGCTTTCTGTCTCAACATCCTTCGCTTGGAGAGCAGATTGTGAGGATGTCTCAAGCAAGGCGCTGGTTTCAACTACCTCAGGGAAGCCGCCAAGAGTGCTTTCACGGCTCCGTACGTCGCCGTTCCGTGGGGATGTCTCTAGCGGTGTGCCAGTGTTCTGCTTTTGCGTTGTGTCCCGAGTGGCTCTCCCCGTTGCGTACGGCGGTCAAGGAGGAGTGGCCAGGTGTTGCTGGCGCAGAGCTTGTGTCACCGTGGGATGTTGCTTTCTCTCTCCGTGGTGCTTTCCAATTTTGTCGTCGTCAGCGGGAGGGGGAACTTGAGAAGGTTCATTATCCCGCGTGCGTTTTGGGCTGGGGAGGGAACTTGAAAAAGATTCACTCTCTGGCTGCGGGAGAGGGAACTTGAAAAGGTTCACTTTCCCCCTTTTGGTCGACCTGGAGAAGGAACTTGGAAAGGTTCACTCTCCAGGCAAGGACAAGGAACTTGAAAAGTTTCACTCGCTTTGCCATTACAAAACATATGTGTTGGATGTGCAGCCGAGCTACGCGCGCGTGTGCTCGTATCGTTGCTCACGTAGACGCGCTCTTATAACACAACTATCATAGACAGATGTTCACCATAGCACTACCCTACAATATGATATGCACATATGGCTCATATGGCTAGACGCTCGTTCAAATATCCCAAATACAATGTTACCTTTTTAAAAGGATGCACATATGGGGAGCTCCACGCAGTGAGTAATTTCAAATTGTAGTGCCTGGGCTGTGGGTTAGACGTTTTCTGGATGCAGGCCACGATATGTTGGGATGCCTCTCGGGGTCTTCGTGCAAAAACAAGCAGGGGGTGAGGTTGAAAAAAAGGACTTCTAAAATTCCACTGCTTCAACTCATGGGATCATGGTATCTCGATTTCTGAAATGGTTTCAGGGGCAACCATGAGGACACGAAGACGATCCAAGAGAGTGCAAAGACAGCGTCAGAAGAGTCCAACAGCATTCTCGAAACATTTTTGCATGTGACCCCGAAGTCTTGACGGGGCTCCAGGAAGAGGATAGGGAGTAGGATGCCCCATTTGGAAAAAAACAAAAAAAAATCCTTTTTTCAAATTCCTCGGTCGTGGAGCGTTGGAAACGGGAAAACGTGAGAAGGCGAAACCGGTCGACAAAAGCCGCTGGAAAGCAACGATTTTACCCTCTTCGGGCTTTCTCGCGACGGCTCTCGAAGCTCTCTTGGGCTGTTTTGGGGGCCTCGTCGGGAATTTTTGGGAAGCCTCTCAGGGGTCTGGGGGGTGTTGGAGGCCTCTGGGGGGTCCCGGAGTCCTCTCGGAGGTCTCTGGCGGCCTCCTGCTCCCCGTTCTTGGGCGTTTCTTGGGCTTGTTCTGGGGTGGTCTGGAGCTGTCCGGGGCGCCTCTTCGGCAGTCTTGGGGCCGTCTTGGGGGCCTCTTGGGCGGTCTCGGGGCGGTCTTGGGGCGTCTTGGAGCGTTGGAGGCATGAAAGAGTGAGAAGGTGAAAACTTCTGAAAAGAAACAATGAAGACCAGCGATTTTAGGTTCTCTGGGCGCTCTCGGGAGGCCTCTCGGAGCTCTCTTGAGGTCTTTTGGAAGCCTCCTGAACCTGGAAAGCCGCCCGAAAGCTATGTATATCCAAGTTTGAAAGAGAGAGAGAGAGAGAGGAAAAAACAACAAATACATATATATGTGTGTGTGTGTCTCGAGAGAGGAAGAGGCAGGAATAGAACAAGGGAGAGAGAGAGAGAGAGAGCGAGATAGAGAGGTACACATATATAAAGAAAGATACAGAGAGCGAGAGAGACAGAGACACGGGGAGCGAGAAGCTAAGGTGGCTGGGGAACTGACGGAGCCAATCAGATCCGCGAGGAGCCACTGCTTTGAGCCGCATGTGGACCGACTAGCGTACCCAAGTGCGCTGAGTAGGGGCCGAAAAGCTTTTACCCGATCATGTCCATGGGCCCGAGGCGAGAAAGACCACCAACGATTGCTCGAAGGCCCCAAAAGCAGATCTCTCCGAGGCTCCACAACAACGTAGAAACACGTCTATCTATTCTGAATGGTGTCCCTCTTGGCCACCCATCTAATCTCACAATGGGCTCAGGTCGACTAAAATGTGCCAATGACCACCGCCCCCAGAGCCCGAGGTGGCTCCAGGGCGGACCAAGACCTACCCAATATGGACCGAATACACCTACATATTTAGAGGCCTCTTAGATAGAATCCGAGTAAATGGGGTCGGAGGATCGCGCCACATCGTCGATACATAGGCGATGCATCGACGATGCATCGGCGACGTCGGCGATGCATCGGCGCCGTCGGCGTGGAGAAAATCGGGATCCATATCGAACCGCATCGCCGATGCATCGGCGATGCGGCGGCGATCCTCCACCCCCATGTACTCCGACCCCATCTAGGAGGCCTAGATGTTTGCCCTCAGCCTCCCACTCAAGACGGCCACAAACGCCGCCCCAACGGGACCACTACCCTCCCATACGGCAAGCTCCGGAAACCTGCATCTTCAAAACAAATCCTCTTGGGGCGCACTTTTCCTCCGCTCTGGCAGCGGGGCCGCACTCGTCCTTGTACCCCCGCTGGCTTCCGCCGCCGCCCGCCGAGGAAGCGATGTCAACTCCTTCGGTCCTCGACGGCGAGGCCCGTTGCGTCGTCCGCCGAGGAAGCGATGTCAACACCTTCGATCCTCGAGGGCGAGGCCCTGTGGCCGGGTGGCCCACGGAGCTCCGAGCAGTCGCCCTCAAGAGGCCCCGAAACGAGGCTCCCCCACTGAGAGACACCGGGGCAGCTTGTGCGCAACGGCCACGCTTAGGTAGGGCATGTCCCCCTGCAGGCGGGTTTTGGACGAACAGTTACTAATCCGAAAATAACTAAAAATAATCGAAAAGTCTTCCCCGGACGATATTTTACAATTTTTGAATATTCCTCCTTTAGAGGGACATGCCCGACTTAAGGCCACGCCCGTGCTGCGCTGTCAGGGCGCAGCATTTGCTACGAAATTCGCCCCACCACGGTGGCCAATACGGGCAGCAGTGCCGCTGACCAGCTCAGTTGCCCCGATGCGCAACACGCAACACGTAGCGTACTGATACGGAGCTCAACACGTCGACTGAAAGCGTTCAGTCAAAAACCCTAATAAGGACGCGCGGTAAGGACGCAAGACCCTTGGAAGCCGAAGTTGGGATTTTTGGGGCGGCGGACGACGAAAACCCCAAGACGAAACCAAGGAAGGACGGAGACGCAAGAGCAAGGAAGAGCAAGGACTCAAGGGCACCCTGAGCAAAGTCGCGCGTCCTTATGAGGGTGTTTGACTGCATGCCTGACGCGATGCCTTCACCAAAACGTGGCCCAACCTGTGCAGGGCCACCGCGCAGCGTCCTGACACAGACGTCTTGAACACGGCACGTGCTGCGCCTCAACACGGGCGCATCTCGGGTTGGGCGAAGGGGGGGGATAGCAAAGGGGGGGTTGAGACTCTGCTCACGTAGCTGATTTTCCCGGCGCCTCCAGGCGCCGGGGGCGACTATGCATCGAGGAATGGGCCCCTCGGTGGGGCCGAAACCAGCTGCATGCAGCCAATTTCGTAACCCCCCCCTTTCCCAATCCCCCCCTCTCGTCCGGCCCGAGTGTCAGGGCGGCTAAGTCGCTGACCAGTCTTTCCCTGAACTGCTCGCCTGTGAGGGCCCCGTGCGCTGCCTCGACAGGCCGAGAGGTGTGAGCCCCTCCAGATCCTGCACAGGTGGCCCGTGGCGTCCCGCACGGTCTGCCGCATGGTCTGCCGCATGGTCTGCCGTGTCCGCAGTAGAGCGTACAGCTTCTTGTCTACTCGCCGGCAGTGGTGGGCACGGGCTGCTGCCAGCCGGGGTGTGAAATCTGAGTCTTGTCCGGAAGCATCCCGAGCCGAGGAGAATTCTAGGGGCGCTTTCCTGTTCGAAGCATGTTGCATGACCTGCTCAGTGCTCTCTTCGGCGCAGCTTTCACAAGGATGTTCGGGTCAAGACGCGGTCCACGGGTCGGTCCTGCAGACTCGCTCTTGGTACGACGTGCCCTGCTGCGTATGTCAAACCTGCGCGACGATGATTTTATCTACTTCAGCTTAGCGCGCGATTCATCACGAAGTGTCAAGGCCATCAACAGTGAGTGGACAGTGAGCGTGCATTGAAATGATATCCTAGTGATCTCAGGTCGTCTGACTAGCAGGGAACGCGTCAAGATGTACCAATTAATTGCCTAAGCGTTGACAGAAAATTGAGGATTTGAAAGAAAGGTTTGAAATCACAACCCAAATCTCTGAGGTCGCATCGCTGAGCTGCAGCTGTCCTGTGCCTTTGAACACAGATTTGGACCCTGAAGTACGGGAACACCAGCTCGCATGCACGTGGATGAGTTGTCTCGCGCGTGCAACTGTGAGAGGAACTCTGAGGAGGCGGCGAGGGGGGTCTGAACTGGCTAGAAACCCGAAGAAAATAAGTCAGGAGGGGGGATGAAGCCAAATCCGCTCAAAATCTGTCCCCGGACCCCTCTCGGGGTCCATCTGGTGCAATTTGTCACCCTGGATCCGCGTCTGACGGTCCCAGAACCCGAAAACGACCCCCAAAAGTAGAAAAAGGCAAGAAAGCTTGTCGAACCCAAACCCGCCAGGCCGCAACCAGTGCGGGGCCATCTCAGACCTCAAGCCGGCTCCAAAGCGCTCTGAACTGCAGGCAGCTGCTCCAGCCTTCCGAAAGAATGGGCAGGCAGCCTACGCTGTTCATATTGCCACGGGGCGAGGGCTCAGCGGCTGCCGAGGGCTCAGCGCTTGCCGCTCCCGGGCTGCTGATGCCTTACTTTCGAGCCGAGGGGCGCGCTCGCGGAGCGCAACCTCCAGGTCCTTGACACTCCTCGAGGTCGCCACACACACCTCTCGGAGAGAAGCCACGTCGATGGCTTTCGCGTTGCCCTGCAGCGTGATGAGATTGTCTACGAACTCTTCGGGCGAGAGCGAGCCCGAGCCATCCGCGTCCAACAGCTGGAAGATCTTCCCAGCGCTCGCGACGTCGATGCCACTAGCTAACATGAAAGTTCGCACTTCGTCGTCTCGCATGACATCGCGCAACTCTTCCCATGATAGCTTACCCGACCCGTCTTTGTCCGCATCAACAAACCATTTGACAGCTTGCTCAATCATACCCATCATCTTGATTTGGGTGGTCTCGACGGCTAAGTCCTTGTTGGACTGGGCGGACTCGATAGCGGCATTCACGAACACGCCGTTCAAGATGTTCAACACGCAAAGAACAGCAAACGTGATGTACACCACCAAGAAATACTTGTACATCACGTCGATGCTCTCCAGCGCAGGCGACAACTCTCCCCACTCGAGTCCACCGGTGATGCACGAGAGAAGGGTGAAGGCGGCGTCACTGAATGTGCCAAAGTGCATCTCCAACTGTCTCCGCGTCTCGGGGTGCTGGCGGGGGCCCTCGAGGTAATTCTGCAACCCCTGCATGAAAAAGACGCCAAACACGGAAATCACAATCACAAGAAGCAACATTGCAGAGAGGAACGCGTTGGCACTCCCCGCCACGGTGTACATCAACGTTTTAAGGGTGTGAAGGTACGGGGACCTGGAGGCCTTCAAGCTTCGCACCAGACGCGCAAGTCGCAACATCTTGAAGAAGTTGACGTAGAAATTTGGTGGTGCGTTCACTATATCAGAAGTAAGAGCTACCAATGTCGCAACCAATGTCAAACAGTCAAAGGCATTCCACAACCACTGACCCCCTTTGAAAAACTTGATCTGATAACGAGCTCGGATGTGAAAATCAACGCGAATATCGCGTCGCCTAAGATCCACATTTCCTTCTGCGCCAACTCAATTTTACCAGCCCTCTGGCGAGTTTTGTGTAGGACAACTGATGAGTAAACTGCAATGTAGATTGCGTTTAAAACAATTACCCCAGTGACCGCGAACGAGAAGTTTGGATTCCGCACCCACTTCAATGTGTCTTTGATACGTTTCGCGCCCTTGAAAGGGAAAAGACCTGCACCACCTGCAACGGAAATTGACTTGTACTTGTTCATGAACGACCCTGCCTTTAACTTGGTGAAATGGGACCTCCCAGGATCAACATTCTCAACGCCCTCCACCGATTTGCGAGTCGTGCTAGGGACGTTCTCGACGGGAAACCCCGCATCCACAGCTTCGGCGCTCGCGTTGTCGAAGCCGCCATCGTCCTCGTCATCTTGGTCGTCTGCGTCGGGACTCTCGGCAGTCTGCGAGTTCTTCACTTGGGCCCGCAGAAGCGCACATTCGTGACGCAGCTCTTCGTGCTCCTTCATCAGGAGCCCCAGATAAATCTCAAAGCTCCCTGTCCTGTCGCCATCTTGCGAGTCGCTGTCATCGCGGGCAGCACCTTGGGCATGGACATGGTTCCTTGCATGGATCCGCTAAGTATACACTGACACTGACTCTGGCCAGGCGCCTCATGGCCCATGGGCCAATGCATAAAGCTTCCGGGCCCGCACAGGGGGTTCTACACTAGTAGATATGTTTTTTTGTTGTTTTCCTCCCGTACCGTGCGTTGCGGTGGAGATGGGGCGGGGGTCAGGCCTGCGAGCACGACAATATGCTTGTGATAACACAAACATAACTTTCAGCACCACAACATGCCTGTGAGCACCGCGCCATGCCCCCGCGTACGTTTGGTTCCTTAACGGGGAGAATTGGGAAGAAGAGGGGGGAGAATGACACCCCGTAACGGATGTTACGGGCTCACCAAATAAACATACTATCTCAAAGGGGGGCGAACAATCTGAGACGAAGCTACGACCAGGTAAAATCGGGTGTGGATAAATCGAGAATCTCTGAGATTCGGCGGCTCGGGAGGATATCTCGGGCGTCGAGGCCTTCTAAGAGCGTTCCGGACCGCTCTGAAAGCGTTCTGGAACGCTCTGTTATCCTCGTCCGAGCCCTGCCCGAGCCTGGTCGGCACCATTTTTCTGTGAATCGTTGACAAATCCTGGCCTCGGCATTGGCGGTCCCGCGCCGCCAGCGGCCATGGCCGCGGCAGGGGTGTCGGACTACTACCGCGCCCGTCGATGCCTGGAGCCAAGCTGCATGTGGGGCCATCCTGGTGCGCCCCTTCCTCCTCCTCTTCCTCGTCCTCCTCCTCCTCCTCCTCCTCCTCCTCCTCCTCCTCCTCCCTCCTCCTCCTCCTCCCCCTCCTCCTCCTCCTCCTCCTCCCTCCTCCTCATCCTCTCCCTCCCTCCTCCTCCTCCTCCTCCTCCTCCTCCTAATATTCCTCCTCCTCCTCCTCCTCCTCCTCCTCCTCCTCCTCCTCCTCCTCCTCTTCCTCCTCCTATAATCAAAATCTATGGTGCGGACGTTCTGCTGCATCCTCGGGGGTCTCGTCCGTCCCGTCGCGGCCCTATCCGTGTCGAATCCATGTCGAATCCATGTCGGCCTCGCCGCATCAGTGTCGAATCCGCGTCGAATCCAAGCCGGATCCGCGTCGAGTCCGCATCGAATCCGCGTCGGACACACGAACAAACACCAGTTGTGGGGACATGCGAGGCCCCCGGAAGATGCAGCGCAAAGGACAGAGGACGGGCGGTAAGGACACGAGGCCTTGTCCGCCGAAGTTGGTATGTTTGAGGCGGCAAGCTGCCAGCACTTCAGGGACGCGAGGGTGCGCTAACCCAGCCCCGTCCTTGCCGCATGGGCGTTGCGCCGCCCAGCGGGAGGACGTCGCCCGCCCCAAGGGTACCTTGAGAGTTCGGCCAGTTGAAACGGCGAAACACGGGCCATGTCTTGTTCTTCCCAGCCTTACGCAGAGTTGAACGGTTCACGTAAGACCCTCTTCTGGGCCCTTTGCATCTGGGCAAGCTTGGGGGAACCAGGTGGCAGTCCTTGCTGCACTTTCCTAAGTTGACTCCTGCCGTATTGATTCAGTTGGGGAATGCAGATTTTCTGACAACTTGGGTGGCCACGCAGTCACAGCACAGACAAACTGTGCTCCCAAACTCCTTGTGATGGGCAAGTTGTGGGAGCTGTGTAGATCCGTGCCATTGACCATGATCACCCCCTTAAACAAACCCTGGTGGCATGGGGTCGCTAAAAACTTGTCCGCCAACTTGTGCGGCGCACACCCCCCCCCGCACAGTGACAGCGGACCTCGGGACCTATCCCCCACACTGGCTGGTGGGCGGCCAGCAGCAGTTGTATCTTGATCTCACGCATCTCGGGTCTCAAAACCGCCTCTCTGGGCACGCGGCTCCCATCGGCTTCGGTCGATGCAAGCAGACTGTGGACCAGGTGCTGGCGAACCTGGAAAGCCATCGCCTGGGCATGGCACCTTCTGTCTCTACCAGCACCAGGCGCGCGAATAGTATCTGCCCATTGGTTCGCTATGCGGTCCGCCAGGCTATGCGACCCGCCAGATCATCAAAAAAAAAAAGCAGTGGCTCGGTACCCATGCCGCTGATGTCCTCTACCTTTCGGTGGCACTCAATTCTGGCAAGCGCGACTCCTGTGGACGGGTGCTCGGCCAACGCTTCTGTGACGTTTTGCCACGCGTCTGAATGGGACTTCGGAAAAAAACAAAGCCGAGGCGAACTTTGTTAGCATCCTTCACAACATCAGTAGAACATGCCAAAAAGTAGCCGTCAGCAACAGGGAGGACAGCCTTCAAAAACTGCAGGAAATTCATCGCTTCCCCTCCGTTGACCGACTGGCGCCATCCAGGCACTTCGCCGAAATTGACTGCGTGAGCCTGAAGCTCTCTGTGGCCGTGCTGCCCACCAGCTCGGAGGCCCCTGAACGCAACCCACGACCAAACCACCCCACGGATGGCGGGGTCCCCGGTGTCAGGCCCCCCTCCCGCTAGCATTCCCCCTTTCCAAAGACGAAACCGTCAACCATGGCCTCCCTAAGGTCCCCCCCGTAGGTATGGAAATCCTCACCCCCGGGGGGAGGGGGCACGGCGGCCCAGCTGCTTGGCGTCAGCCCGCGAAGCCAGAAGCTAGGATCACTCCCCCAGTCCGCAAGGGCCCGCCCGCAGTCTCACGAAGTCTGAGACCTTGGACAACTCAGCATTCTCAGGACAGCCCCAAGCACGATGCAGGTCACGCTCCACCAACTCACCGCATCTCTTACAGGAGCTGCCCTGGGTGAGACCGCATTAGTGGAGCCTTACGCGCGGCCAACTGTCCCCAGCGGCCGCAGCCCGCAGGATCCCTCCCCATTCGTGCTTGCCCTTCCTGGCCAGCGACCCCAACTGAAATTTGAAATCGCACAGGTCTGGTACTACCCCCAAGCCAGACCCGTTTCACGAGTTGGCTGCAGCGGCCTCCCAGAGCTGTCGTTCCTTGCTGTGGGCCAGGGCCTCGCCCGAGCTTGGTTCCTGAGATCGCAAAACGCTCGCCCAGATCGCTTTCCCAAGCCCAGGGCCCCCCACGGCTACCAACCTACATCCAGCAGAGTGGCGATCGTGGCAGCTACTGGGCTGCCCGCGCATCGCCATATGTTTCCCGCTGCCTCGGGTTCCACCTCAGCTGCAACTCTACGCCAGACGCGCCCCCCCCCCCCCCCCCCCCCCGTCGCATCGGCATCGAAACTTGCATCGATTCAAATCTGGAACCAAGCCTCGATTGCATCAAACATCACAAAGAAGGCTGGGTCTCTCCAGCCGTGCTCTATAGCTAGAAGCGCGGTCAGGCATCGACCCCTCTTAGAGACCCCCCCCAGTAAGCCTGCCCGACGCTCCCCGCCAACCAAGGACAACGCTGGGCGGGGCGCCATGGACCTTGTCAGAATATCTATCTAGTCTCAGAGAAAGCCGAAATTAAAACCACATTTCGCGCCCATCTCTTGCACAACCTGTTGCCTTTAGCCAGCTCGCCTAGCTTCGGCGACCCGCGGTTGGCCCCAGCTCTCCCGGTGGCCTGCTCGGGTCGCGAAGCCTTGACCTGGCCACGATCAATACCGAGATGGGCCGCTACGCGCTTGGCCTGCACGCCGATGCCTTGCCCTCCGAGCAAAAATCCTCGAGCCCCACGGCCAACGCCCAGGGCGAGGAGATGATGGCCGATTCCGGAGCAATCTGCAACTTAATCGCGCCCAGGCCCTGGACCAGTTCCAGGTGCAGCTTCGAGAGCTCAGCAAAGAACTCTGGCACTGTCTCCATGTGTGCACCGTGCTATGCCGCCCACCCAAGTGAGCATTGTTTGTGAGGGCCTGCCAGTAGCTATTTTGCTGCAAACGAAATGAAGGGTTGCCTTGCCTAAATATACTGCACCACTGCTGCCTGGAATGATGGGCACGCCTGGCTGCGCAGCCAGAGAAAATCCTGCCTCCTTCAAAAACCAGATGGCCATTTGGACATGGATCTCCAGGGCCAGGTCGCGCGGATGGAACTCAAGTTCCAAAGCGTGGCCCGGAAACAGGTCCTAGCGGAGACTGTCATAAAATCCGGCCACGTCCCAGATCAAGCTAGCACTCCGATGGTCAGGCAGAGAAGAGCGCAATGCTTGCTCATCTCTGAACAATCAAAAAGGGCAGCCTGCAGCGCTGAACAGCCCGCGAGGGCCGCGTCCCACGGCCCTGCTCGCTCCTTAGTCCAACCAGCTCGGCCCGAGGTCCGCAGACGCTTCAAAAAACGAACAATCCAGGCAAGGCAGGCCTATGGCTCGGTCGGAGTCCTGGTCTTTGACTTGGAGCGTGACTAGCACCGCTAGGGCCTGCTGGGGCCAGCATACTTCCTGTTCACACAGCGCATCGAAATCAACAAGCTGGTGCAGGCCCAACGGCGGCAACCACTGGGAATCCTCTTGGACAGCCTATCTACACCAGGAGCTTTCTCAGGCAGGACCAAGAGGATCCTACTGAGCCAATCGGCTCCCGTCGGGGGCCGCGGGTTCCTCTCGGCCGAACTCTGGGCCCTGCGCCACAGGGCTCTGGCCCCAGGAAAACCAGAGCTGTCTCCTGCCCACTTGCCTGCCCAGATCTTGGCCTTGACAGCCATCCTCTGGCAGGAGTTTTAAACCGTCTCCCCGCCAGCCCGAACCTCCCCGACATGCGGCGACGTGTCCCTGATGCAGCTACACGGCACGGCCTCCAGACTGGCCCTGCTGCATGACCCACTGGTGGACGCAGGTGTCAGCAATATTCAGAGCCCCGCGCTGGCCCCGCACAGAGTCCTGCCTCGCTCTAGCATTGAAATCTCTGACAGTCCGGTCTGACCCCCCCTGAGAACACGCGGGCCTCGGACCCAATCCGGGCGAATCCTACCTGCGAGCGGCAAAAGTAACGAGACTGGCATCGACGAGGCCACGTCCCAAATTCTATAACAAAAGCCCGCTGGGCCTGTGCTTCGATCTGTCCCCAAGGGAACCGACCAGGTCCGACAGCGAGCTCCTCAGGGTGGCCCGCCAGTGGGCCATCGGACCCCTGGAAGACACAAAGTGGGCACCCTGGGCCTCTGGTCGGTTTTGGAGCTCCCTCAGCTCAGCACGGCCTTTAAATCTATGCTGGCCAGTGGGATGCACTTCCATCATTGCACAGAAAAAAAGCCTTCCAAGCGTGATATCCATCCGGCAGAAGCGGAACCTACCTTCATCGCCACAGCCTCGCCCAGGCTGCAAGCGAAAGAGTCTCTCGCGTAGCTTGGTACCTTGGCATCCCTGAATGGGTCCTGCAGCGGCTCCCACAGATGATCCTGCTGCTCCGTCGTGATCGTGAAAAGCTGATGACCTGGCCCACTCTGACGTTCTTCGGCTGCTGTCCGATTCTGGTGCTCCGCCTCTTCCTCCTCGATGGGGCGGTCGCGCGGCTGCCCCTTTGCTCGGGGGCGGGGCTGCGCGTTGCTCCCAGAGCTGCTCCCCGCCCCGCCCAGACCTGCGCGCCGCGCCTCCAGTCGACTGGAACCCCGTCCACGCTGCTCCACCAGCAGCGGCGCGCTCTCCCCCCCTCGCGCCAGCAGCGGCCCGAGGGCCCGCGGCACTCGGGGGGCCCACGGGCACTCCTCAAGACGAAACCACACTGGCACCTTCGCCGGCAGCAC